AAAAAAAAAAAAAAATAATAATAATAATAAAAGTTCAGTTCTTGTGAATTTGCCCCATCGTTGTCTCTGGGCGATGAGAACATTCCCCTAACAAGGCAGTAGATTCTGGCTGTTACGCTTCAGGTTGTCTGATGACTCCAGTGTTGTCGTTTAAGCCCCCGACTTATTTTTAGCTGCCTCAGTATTCCTTTTTAGGCACAATTTTTTAGGAATAAAGCTGTTAGCAGAGCAGAGTGGGATCAAGAGTCACAGAGAGGTTGCTTTTTTTCCAGTTTGCTAAACCCTCTGACTGGTTTATGGAATCATCCTTGCACCCAATTAGAGAATATCCCACATGTGACCTAAAACAGAATCCCTTTGTGGGCTGTGGAAACTCTTCCCTTTTTTGACTCATGCCTGCTTTAAGTCAGTCTAGTCAGATAAATATAAATTAGGATAACTGGACACAGACAATAACAGCTATGTGAGTATGTGAACGTGTTAATTAAGAAATCAGAATTCTGTAAAATAACTTAGGTAAAGATGTTCTGATACAGGGAATGGAATGACCTATCTGTTTATTACTGTCTGAAATCAAGACCCAACTTTTCTTACATTTGAGTACATCAAAAATCCAAGCAGTCCTGAACAAATCTTAAAAAATACCACATACAGTTATCTTTCTTTTACATAAAAACACACTTCACTCACATGCATTCACTTTCTCTTTACACTCCTTTTTATGACATCATTACCACATCGTCGTCCTATCAAAGAGTCCATATTGGCTGAAAACACTTATCAGTTTAAATGTGCGCTAAGTACCAGTGGTTCTACCATGAAATGATGACATGGAGTTTTTCCCCCTGAGCAGAAACTAAATGTACCATATGGACCTGGATTTGTGCTTAAGAGTCAGGTAGGCATCTGAGTTCAGGAATCTGGGACACGAGTCTCTGAGCATCAACAGGTAAACCTGTTTCTGGGCCTCGTCAAAGCAGGAACGACTGGGTTTCTCCAAAGAGTTCTGGATCTTCTCTTTAGTTTGGTGGTCGACGTTGATCTAAAGAGGAGAAAAAGTCAATAGGATTTGATGTATTTTATCAAACACMTATTAAACCTGAAATRTATATTATGTTCTGCTTTRCTGCATYTGACACAGGGTGTCTTGAAACTGTGCAGGGTRCAATGAAATCTCAAGACTATCAAGGCATTCTRGAGAGAAATGTGCTCAGTGTCAGAAARCCTGGTCTCAGTTGCAGGTCATGGGTCTTGCAACAGGATAATGACCAAGAACACAGCTAAAAACACCCAARAATGGCTAAGAGGACACTGGACTATTCTGAAGTGTTCTTCTGTGAGCTCTGACCTCAGTCCCATTGAGCATCTTTGGAAGGAGCTGAAACAGCTGTCTGGAAAAGACACCCTTCAAACCTGACAACTGGAGCAGTTTRCTCATGAGGAGTTGAACAAATACCTGCTGAAAGGTGCAGGAATCGTTTGAGTGCAGTGATYGCCTCAAAAAGGTTGTGCAACTAAATATTAAGTGAAGGATAACATCATTTCTGTCCAGGCTTGTTTCATGAGTTTTATTGTTGAAAAAATTCAKTTGAAGCAGGGTTGAAAAGCAGTGTCTGATTTTATTTGTTCATTCTCATAGAAGTTTGTTTATTATTACTTCATTCAGATTCTAGTTACTTTTGTGACCATTGTGGGTTTTTCTTTYGTTAAAGGGATCCCTGATTAGTTGTAGCATTAGACTTTATTTGATAAACATTTATTTTAACTGTAAAATAAAGACTGTAAAAATAC